CCCCTGCACCCCAGTAACGCACTGTAGCACCCCAGTAACGCACTATAGCACCCCCTGCATCCCAATAATACACTGTATCGCCCCCTGCACCCCAATAACGCACTGTAGCACCCCCTGCACCCCAGTAACGCACTGTATCACACCAGTAACACACTGTAGCACCCCCTGCACCCCAGTAACGCACTGTAGCACCCCAGTAACGCACTGTAGCACCCCCTGCACACTGAGACCTCTGTACCACCTAAAACCATTGCGCTGCTGCAGACAGTAATGTTTACATCGCGGTTAACCTGTCACTCAGACCACATGAAATAGCAGAGTAAGCCGCCATTATTTACATCCGATGTGATCTGAATGGCACAGCGCCGTGTTGTGCGCAGACCAGTCTCTTAATGCTTTCCTATGGGAAATCATAGGATTGGCTGAAATTGATCTCAGTTAAGGAGGCGGAGCTACGAGGTTGAAATTGTAAATAAACGAAGTATCGCTGCAGGTGGGGCCAGTAACCTAAACAGCCAACAAGTCACCGTAGCGTTGGGCATACGCTTTTATTATTACACTGTAATGGTCCTCCAAGTCAGCTATTGTACCCTGTGTGTCGTCTTGTACATGAGTAAGTGTTTATTTAGGAATGTCGCTTGTTATATGCTGGAACCTTGCACTAAGCATTCCATCACTTAACCATTCCCAGCCCCTTGTACAGAATGTCCCTCCCCCAAGCCTCTCTTATATGGGATATCACTGCCCCCTAGACTGTCCTAATACAGGATATCCCTGCCCTCCCCCCCCCCTGACTATCCTAATACAGGATACCCCTCCCCGACTATACGAATACAGGATATCCCCTGGACCCACTATCCAAATACAGGACATTCCTGACCCCCTCATCATACCCCAATACAGGATAATCCCTGCCCCTCCCCCAGACTGTCCCAATACAGGATATCCCTGCCCCCAGACTGTCCTGTAATACAGGATATCCCCGCGCCTCCCCCAGACAGTCCTCCAATACAGGATATCCCCTGCCCCCCAGACTGTCCTAATACAGGTTGGTCCCTGCCCCCCAGACTGTCCTAATACAGGATATCCCTGGCCCCCAGACTGTCCTAATACAGGATATCCCTGCCTCCCCCAGACCGTCCTAATACAGGATATCCCCTGCCCCCAGACCGTCTCCAATACAGATATCCCTGCCCCCAGGACCAATCCCAATACAGGATAATCCCTGGCCCCTGTGACTGTTCCACAGCAGGTGTGATATCCCTGCCCCCCCAGACTGTCCTAATAGGGGATATCCCTGGTGCTCCCCAGACCGTCCTAATACAGGATATCCCTGCCCCCCTCCCCCAGACTGTCCTAATACAGGATATCCCTTCCCCCCAGACTGTCCTAATACAGGATATCCCTGCCCCCTGAGCCTTTCCTGATAGGGTAACTGGATGCCCCATACTGGTGATGGTCTGATATCTACACATTTTTTTCCCACCACGTGCTGGGCCTTTCACAGTAATGTGATCTGGCCAGAGGTCATTCGGACAGGTTTGGTGAGATGTTTGTAGAATGTCCCAGCACCATTCTTACTGTGTTAGTTTCCATTAGCCCTGTGGTGTCCAGGTAATATATTGAACCCGTGATCACTCTACCAGGTGGTTAGAGGGTCGACCACCAGCTCAGGGACTTCTAGCATTGCGAAGGTACCTGGCTTTTCTGGGCACTGAGATGGAGGGATAACAGATTCACAGCGAGTATTAGCATAGCGAAGCAAATCCTCAAATAAAACGAGTATGGCTAGCATAGGGAGTCTACTAAATTAGGGGGAAGGGCATATTTAGAGGGTCGGGAAGGGGCAGATGGTGCCAGGGATTTGGTATGGGGAGGAGGCATTTGGTGCCAGGGATTTGGTATGGGGAGGAGGGGCATTTGATGCCAGGGATTTGGTATGGGGAGGAGTGGCAGATGGTGCCAAGGATGAGTATGGGGAGGAGTGGCAGATGGAGCCAAGGATTTGGTATGGGGAGGAGTGGTAGATGGTGCCAGGGATTTGGTATGGGGAGGAGTGGCAGATGGTGCCAGGGATTTGGTATGGGGACGAGTGGCAGATGGTGCCCTGGATGGGTATGGTGAGAAGGTGCAGATGGAGCCAGGGACGGGTATGGAGAGAAGGGTCATTATCAGAAGAGCAATCTTACGTTTATCTATGTTTGTGACATGAGGTGTGGTACCTCTCAGTGAAGCTCTGAATGATAGCCTGCAACGTGTATGTGGTTATTGTGAGTTTGCCAGTGGGATAATTATTTATTCGGTCTTAGATTATTCAAGTTTGTCTGAATATCTGGAGAAAGTTGACTGGGAAGGAAGGGGTTAAACATTTAACCACTAATCCCTCTGTGTGCGTGGAATATTACAGGACACTGAGCCCCTTACATAGCCGGCAATGCAGCGTCACCATACGTACCTAGCTGTCAACACTACTTGGAGGTACATCTAAACACGATTTACTCCTTTTTTGAAGATTTTGGAAGTTCAGGAGTGTAATATCCATTCGTGTTTGTGAATGCAGATTTGGTGACGAGGGCCCTGATGTGCAGCGCGATCCTTTCCATGCCATGGACCCTTTGGGCGCCAGGTCGTGTTACGTGGATGTGGACACTCTCCCATGCTGGTCGGAGGGTCTGCCCGAAGAAGATGTGCCGGATTCCTCATGTCTCGACAGCCAGAGCTGAGCCGGGGGGCTCGCTCTCCGTTCCCTTACCGGGAAGACATCAATGAGAAGATTGTGTTATGGTGAGTGAGAGTGTAAAAGATATTGGGGGGGTTCAGGAGAACAATTATGAAAATGAGCTGTTGTGTTCCCTGAGTATTCTACAGACTTGTAAACATTGTAATGTCCGTATTCCCTTCAGTGTAAAAGATATTGGGGGGGTTGGTTAATTGCCCCCTCCAGTGTGAGCTGTTGTGTTCTCGAGTATTCTACAGACAGCAGTTGGCATTGTAATGTCCGTATCCCTTTATGTAAAAGATATTGGCCCTTTTAATATGTAAATCCTCCAGTGTGAGGGGGGGTTAATAGCCCCCTCCAGTGTGAGCTGCTGTGTTCCCTGAGTATTCTACAGGCAGCAGTTACATTGTAATGTCCGTACCCCTTTATTGTAAAAGATATTGGGGGTGGGGGTTGGTTAATAGCCCCCTCCAGTGTGAGCTGCTGTGTTCCCTGAGTATTCTACAGACAGCAGTTACATTGTAATATCCGTATCCCTTTAGTGTAAAAGATATTGGGGGGGTTGGTTAATAGCCCCCTCCAGTGTGAGCTGCTGTGTGCCCAGAGTATTCTACAGACAGCAGTTACATTGTAATGTCCGTATCCCTTTAGTGTAAAAGATATTGGGGGGTTTGGTTAATTGCCCCCTCCAGTGTGAGCTGCTGTGTGCCCAGAGTATTCTACAGACAGCAGTTACATTGTAATGTCCGTATCCCTTTATTGTAAAAGATATTGGGGGTTTGGTTAATAGCCCCCTCCAGTGTGAGCTGCTGTGTTCCCTGAGTATTCTTCAGGCAGCAGTCTGACACCTTATAAGAATTGTACAAGGGGTTAATACGGATATCTTGTCTAATACAGAGATGTAACTGCTGGTAGGAAAGATAAGCCAGAATTATAATAACAAAAAACAACAAGTAATGGGCTGCGATGGTGCCCTGCAATAAGCGTTCATTGTGTGAATCAGAGTCCCATCCTGCAGAACCAGTAATATAGCAGGTTAAATTATCGTTGGAAGCCTCGCGATCTGAGTGGTTTAGGAATGTATAACCACTCTCAGGACTCTGTGCCAGCCTGGCCTAGCAAGGCATTCAGCGAACATTAATAAACCCAGTCAATCTGTCTCTGTGATGGGTATAACTTGTCTGTCTGTCTGTCCCAGGGCTGGCGACGTAGCGTTACTGAACTGCACCGCAGTGGTTAATACCAGCAATGAGACGCTTACTGACAAGAATCCTGTGTCTGACAGTATATTCCGCTACTCCGGGTCCGAGCTGCTCGAGGAAATGCCAAAACTGAAAGGTGAGCCTGAAACAAAGTGCCTGCCAATGGCGACATTCTCTCATGGTAGCTGCGTATTGCAACCAAAGCCAGGATCCAGCGCACACATGCACCGGGAATATGGTGGACTACTTAGTAACAACCGGTGCTTGCCCTCGCTATGTGCACAGCCCCCGGTTACATTTCTGCTGTTTTTTTTTTTTATCCTTATTGGAGACAATATAAACGTAATCTTTCTGAGGGCAGGACCGCCACCCTTTGTTTAAAGGAGCAGTAATGCCATGTCAGCTGACCGGTTACCTCCTTTGTGCATTTTGGGGGAATTCTTGGATAAATCACTGGGAGTGGAACAGCTAACACAGTCGTAACATTCTGTTGTTTCAGGCCATATTGACTTCTGTCTGAATGCCAGTGCATATAATCTTTAAAGGGTTGCTCCAACCACCATAACCACTTCAGTGAATTGAGATATTCGTAATCGTGTGCTGGAGGCTAGTAGCACCCCAGCACACGTGAAATTGGCAGCCCAGAATTCTGTTCCGAACAGCCTAATGTAATTTCTGTGTATAAATAATGTGTGCCACTGCACACTGGCGACAGACGTGATAATGTTTTCCCTTGTGGCCAGAGTACCTGAGAGGGAAGCTAGATTTCCACTCCCACAGTGCGCTCCCTCTGTTACATAGTTATTTAAACAAACTCCCTCCCCTCACTGACCTAGAGCACACATTTGCTCTGTGCCAGCTAAATTGTCTAATCACCGGCTTCTCTATGCGATTCCTGTGATTGGACCGCGCTGTCCCTGTGACGTCGGAGCGGTTGTAGTAGATCAGTGCCGGGAGCTTTATCCAGCGCTGGCTTCCAGGTGAGTAAATCCTGTATTTTGCAGGTTTAGAAGGGTCAGAGTAAGCAGTTAATACTTCTGTTCAGAGAAGAGGTAACGCCCTGTTTGGATTGTGTTCAAGTAATAAGATTGAGTGGGGTCTGCGGACTGTGATTTTCACATATAATCTACTCTCTCCTTTCCGTCCTTTTAATTGGCAGGTTGCAGGACGGGGGAAGCCAAACTAACCAAAGGGTTCGGTCTGGCGGCTCGTTACATCATCCACACTGTGGGTCCGAAGTACAAGACCAAATACCGCACGGCAGCTGAGAGCTCCCTGTACAGCTGCTATCGGAATGTCCTCCAACTGGCTAAGTAATATGCTCCTCATGGGCGGTGCTGTGGGGGGATCAGGTGGTCTGCCAAATAGCACTAATTAAGGGGAACGCACTCTTACTATAGCAGATGCTTGGTGATATAATAGGGCAAGAAGCAAAGGAAGTTTCTATTTCCCAGAGTGCTCTGGGGGAGTCAGGCCTACATGTGTGGTTCACAGCCTGGCAGTGGAGTTTCCGGGAGATGCCCACACAGCCTGGCAGTTTCCATACTTTGCTTGCTGCCAGTCTAGGTACGTCTGATCTACCTGCAGGTTTGGTAGAAGGGTGCATTATTGCAGATTGATAAAGTATTATTCAGACAGCGTATTATCTGTGCAATCTCGCTCAGCCAATACATGGTTTAATACATGGATGAATTGATATGGGTAGAACACAATTCCAGCAAGGGATGACCGGGCCATTGTACCTTGAGATCCCCACATTTTGGTGAAGCTGTTTTACCGTATGATCAAGGATTGACTGTCCGTAACCAAATGTCAGTATAACATTGACACCAGTACGTTGTAGTTATGGTACCTAGATGGCTCCTATAAACCATGATTACAGACTTGGTTTTAACTTCCTGATGGCATTTTCGGGTGATACATCCACCGAAAAGCCACCTCCTTACCGATACCAGGGATACCAAACTATTCCTAAAGATTTCACCCCCTTGTGTTCCAGTAAAGAATAAAGAAATAAACTCAAAAATGTATATTTACATAATTCAAATTGTAGGTATCTCTAAACATTGGTTTAAACCCAGAATCTTCTGTTCATGTGCTCGCTGGGCATCATGGGTTTCAAACAAATGTTTGCTTTTTTTAAAGCAACGTTTTTTTTGCTTGTATAGCAGGGGTTAATGTGAGGTAGGCAGTGGGAAATTAACCCTTTGTTTGTCACTCCCCAGCAGTGTGGAGTCTGTTACTCGGAGGGCTTAGAGTAAAAGCATTCTCCTCTATTCGCCATCCCCCACTCCCTGCTGGGCACATGGAATGGGCCGAGTCATCGGCACAGTGGCAGTTTTGGCACCCTCGTGACACTTGCAGAATCCAGCTGCTGGGTGTGATGAGCATGTGATCTGAGGTCTGATATCTTAACTCTACCAGCCGAGCAAAGACGAACTTCCTGAAACACAGCCGTTGTAGCACAGCTTGAACACTTCAAGCAATGCATTGTGGTTCTAATCATCCCACTGCAAGACCCAGGCCATCCATGCCGGGTCCACAACTGCCACCCGATGGCTGAGTTTTCCTTGCAGATGCCCACAAAGCCGGGCAGAGCAGAAAAAAAAGTAAATTAGACTATGTGGGAGATGCCCACACAGTCTGTCAGAGCAGAGTTACTGGGAAATGCCCACACAGCCGGGCAGAGTGGGGATACTGAGAGATGCCCACACAGACTGGCAGAGCAGGGTTACTGGAAGATTCCCACACAGCCTGGCAGTAGGGTAACTGGGAGATGCCCACACAGCCTGGTAGAGATGGGTTACTGGGAGATGCCCACACAGCCTGGTAGAGCATGGTTACTGGGAGATGTCCACACAGCCTGGTAGATCAGGGTTACTGGGAGATGCCCACACAGCCTGGTAGATCGGGTTACTGGGAGATGCCCACACAGACTGGCAGAGTGGGGATACTGGGAGATGCCCACACAGACTGGCAGAGCGGGTTACTGGGAGATGCCCACACAGACTGGCAGAGCGGGTTACTGGGCGATGCCCACACAGACTGGCAGAGCAGGGTTTCTGGGAGATGCCCACACAGACTGACAGAGCAGGGTTTCTGGGAGATGCCCACACATCCTGGCAGAGCAGGGTTTCTGGGAGATGCCCACACAGACTGGCAGAGCAGGGTTACCGGGAGATGCCCACACAGCCTGGCAGTGGGGTGACCGGGAGATGCCCACACAGCCTAGCAGTGGGGTGACCGGGAGATGCCCACCCAGCCTGGCAGTGGGGTGACCGGGGGATGCCCACCCAGCCTGGCAGTGGGGTGACCGGGGGATGCCCACCCAGCCTGGCAGTGGGGTGACCGGGGGATGCCCACCCAGCCTGGCAGAGCAGGGTGACTGGGGGATGCCCACACAGCCTGGCAGAGCAGGGTTACTGGGAGATGCCCACACAGCCTGGCAGAGCAGGGTTACTGGGAGATGCCCACACAGCCTGGCAGTAGGGTTACTGGGAGATGCCCACACAGCCTGGCAGTAGGGTTACTGGGAGATGCCCACACAGCCTGGTAGAGATGGGTTACTGGGAGATGCCCACACAGCCTGGTAGAGCATGGTTACTGGGAGATGCCCACACAGACTGGTAGATCGGGTTACTGGGAGATGCCCACACAGACTGGTAGAGCATGGTTACTGGGAGATGCCCACACAGACTGGTAGATCGGGTTACTGGGAGATGCCCACACAGACTGGCAGAGTGGGGATACTGGGAGATGCCCACACAGACTGGCTGAGCGGGTTACTGGGCGATACCCACACAGCCTGGCAGAGCGTGGTTACTGGGAGATGCCCACACAGCCTGGCAGAGCGTGGTTACTGGGAGATGCCCACCGATATTGGGGTTCTGTGACGTAATTAGCGTAGGACCCACCGATATTGAGGTACTGTTACGTAATTAGTGTAGGACCCATCGCTATTGGGGTACTGTGACGTAATTAGTGTAGGACCCATCGCTATTGGGGTACTGTTACATAATTAGTATAGGACCTAATGATATTTTGGTACTCTGACTTAATTAGTGTAGGACCCACCGATATTGGGGTACTGTGACGTAATTAGTGTAGGACCCATCGCTATTGGGGTACTGTGTGTGGTGGTGCTTGGGTTGTTGGGGTGCTGTGGTAGGTGGTGTGGGACCCACGTATTGTTGGGTACTGTGGTGGTGGTGTGGGACCCACACCATGTCAGGGGTACTGTGGTGGTGGAGTGTAGGACCCACCGCTATTGGGGTACTGTGACGTAATTAGTGTAGGACCCACCGCTATTGGGGTACTGTGACGTAATTAGTGTAGGACCCATCGCTATTGGGGTACTGTGACGTAATTAGTGTAGGACCCATCGCTATTGGGGTACTGTGACGTAATTAGTGTAGGACCCATCGCTATTGGGGTACTCTGACGTAATTAGTGTAGGACCCATCGCTATTGGGGTACTGTGACGTAGTGGTGTGCGTAGCACAATATGGCCATATGGTGGAATTGAATCCTCATATTTGCTGAGATAGGTTATTTTAAATAGCTTTTCAAAATGTAAAACTGTCTTTTTATGCGTGCGCTGTTCCTTATTCTGTATTTTGTGAATATTTTGGTCTCTGTGGCAGCACCACTACGGTAATTGCATGTTCCAGATGTTCCCCTGATTCCTCCTTTTTTTCTGAGGCAGAGGAAGGATGACAGGGATTTGCTGATGTAAAGGGAGAATATGTTGTGGAGCACCTGAGAGAGAGAGAGAGAGAGAGAGAGAGAGAGAGAGACTGTAACTAGTCTCCCATTTCTATACAAATTGTGTTTCCTAAACCTGAACCTTTATCAGCAGACCCCCCCAGATGTTATTATACATTGTCATTATGTGAAAGCCGCACAGATTCCAGCTAGTTCTGTTCCTCAGTCGATTCCATGTGTAAATGAGCCCATGAGATACCACGTGTACCACGGCAGATAATCTATATAGTGCATATCACATAGTGTCAGCCTTGTGCTAAAACATGGAGATACCACGTGTAACACGGCAGATAATCTATATAGTGCATATCACATAGTGTCAGCCTTGTGCTAAAACATGGAGATACCACGTGTAACACGGCAGATAATCTATATAGTGCATATCACATAGTGTCAGCCTTGTGCTAAAACATGGAGATACCACGCGTAACACGACAGATAATCTATATAGTGCATATCACATAGTGTCTGCCTTATACTAAAACATGGAGATACCACGTGTAACACGACAGATAATCTATATAGTGCATATCACATAGTGTCTGCCTTATACTAAAACATGGAGATACCACGTGTAATACGACGATAATCTATATAGTGCATATCACATAGTGTCTGCCTTATACTAAAACATGGAGATTCCACGTGTACCACGACAGATAATCGTGTCTGCCTTATACTAAAACATGGAGATACCACGTGTACCACGACAGATAATCTATATAGTGCATATCACATAGTGTCTGCCTTATACTAAAACATGGAGATACCACGTGTAACACGACAGATAATCTATATAGTGCATATCACATAGTGTCTGCCTTATACTAAAACATGGAGATACCACGTGTAATACGACGATAATCTATATAGTGCATATCACATAGTGTCTGCCTTATACTAAAACATGGAGATACCACGTGTACCACGACAGATAATCGTGTCTGCCTTATACTAAAACATGGAGATACCACGTGTACCACGACAGATAATCTATATAGTGCATATCACATAGTGTCTGCCTTATACTAAAACGTGGAGATACCACGTGTAACACGGCAGATAATCTATATAGTGCATATCACATAGTGTCTGCCTTATACTAAAACATGGAGATACCACGTGTAACACGGCAGATAATCTATATAGTGCATATCACATAGTGTCTGCCTTATACTAAAACGTGGAGATACCACGTGTAACACGGCAGATAATCTATATAGTGCATATCACATAGTGTCTGCCTTGTGCTAAAACATGGAGATACCACGTGTACCACGACAGATAATCTATATAGTACATATCACATAGTGTCTGCCTTGTGCTAAAACATGGAGATACCACGTGTAACACGGCAGATAATCTATATAGTGCATATCACATAGTGTCTGCCTTGTGCTAAAACATGGAGATACCACGTGTAACACGGCAGATAATCTATATAGTGCATATCACATATTGTCTGCCTTGTGCTAAAACATGGAGATACCACGTGTAACACGGCAGATAATCTATATAGTGCATATCACATACTGGGAATGTTGTGAGTGAGCTGGCCCTATGTTAGTGTGTGTGTAAAGCTGTTTTCATTGTGTTTTCGTGCGCAGTGCTTTCTATTCGCTGTCTGACTCTGGTTCTTCTTCTTTTGTTTCAGGGAGCAGTCCATGTCTACGGTGGGATTCTGTGTGATCAGTTCTCTGAAGAGGTGTTATCCGTTAGAGGATGCAACACACATTGCTCTCCGTGAGTGCTGCCTCTCGTCACCTGATATGAATATAGATTCATCGTGAATAAACCTCTTCTACAGAGCCCCATATCTAAAGCTGTGTACACGGCTGGATTGTTATAAAAGTGAAATAACTCCCAGTTATTGTGGTCACAGCTGTTAGCAAGCAGTGGTCACATGTGAATTTTAGAACCTGTTTATCTCAAAAATGTTTACCAATATGTTGCACCCAGTGATTTCATTATTTAGCTGAGCTCTCTGCTAGTGACATAACTTTCCAGCTCATATGACCTGCCAGTGACATCACTAGTGATTCTTACCTCACAACGTTCCAGTGACATCTCTAAACATCTTCATGTATGTGCCCAGCCAGTGTCCTCGCTAGTGATGTCATTACCCAGCCAGTGTCCTCGCTGGTGATGTCATTACCCAGCCAGTGTCCTCGCTGGTGATGTCATGACCCAGCCAGTGTCCTCGCTGGTGATGTCATGACCCTTTATGTTATTATTGCTGTTGTGTATGTATTTATATCACACCTTGTGCTATAAACTGTGTTCTGTGAAACCTCTGATGGCTATGACCTGTAATTGATGTTGTTTTGTCTCAGGTACTGTGCGTAGGTTTCTGGAGGTCCATGGTGCCGCTCTGGAGAAAGTGGTGTTTGCCGTTACAGAGCAGGAGGAGGTAAATCACCAAATTGGTATAACCTTGTGGCAGCTTTGTTCAGTGGTTTATTTTACTCTGGAAATGTGAGCTGTTGGTGCTTGCTTGTTTTGGCACATGTAGTGTCCTAACCGCTCTCTGTGTGTAACGAGATAAACCATCGCTCCCCGGGTCCTAACCCCTCTCTGTGTGTAACGAGATAAACCATAGCTCCCCTGGTCCTAACACCTCTCTGTGTGTAACAAGATAAACCATAGCTCCCCTGGTCCTAACACCTCTCTGTGTGTAACGAGATAAACCATCGCTCCCCGGGTCCTAACCCCTCTCTGTGTGTAACAAGATAAACCATAGCTCCCCTGGTCCTAACACCTCTCTAACCCCCAATGTTTCGCCAGGGGTTTTACATTCATGTTTCGTGGTCTGTGAGGTACTCCAACTCTGTAACCTCTTATAAGGTGTGAATAGGGCAGTTTTCTCCTCCAACAATGTTAAGAGAATTCCCAGAATCCTTTGCCATCCTTTTAATGTTGAGCCTATTATGTCAGTGACAGCCAGAGGGTCACATTGTGTCATTCATTTCTTAAATTCTGTGTTTCTCAATGGTTGTGAAATTCAGTGAGTGCTGTCACAATACAGCCTGTGTGTGACGCCATCCACAGTTACAGACGTGAAGACATTTTACTGCAAAGATTTAGTTTTTTTGCCTCTTTAGTGTATGTACAGATACATATTAATGACATATCTCTGTATATCACATACATTCTATTCAAATCACCTTCCAAAACAGCTCCAAACAGTAATCCATTATTTTTAAATTAAGATTCTACTCTGTGAGAGCTGGTAGCTCCTACTCATGGCTTCTGTTATCTTTTCTGAGCACAGCCCTGCTGTGCATTGCTAGCCCATTGTCTGAGAATGTCCGCTATAGTGTGCTGTAGTGGTTATGGTGCTTGAAGTGTTCGGGCAGGAATTCTCTCATTGGCTGAGCGCAATCACTACATGCTATAGCTCTGGAGAGCCGACGGAAGGTTCTGAGCAGGAATCAAGGAGAAGCGCTGATGGACTGGATCAAAGGTTGAACCAATCTCAAACTGTTTGAGTCCTTACAAACTGAGGGCACCGGGATGCTCCTCGCACCGTAGCCAATACTACAGTGGTTCTGGTGGTTAGAGATATTGCATATAATCATGCTAAACACAGTGGGGGAGAATTAGCGAAATGTCAGACCGCTTTGCTCCAATTTTTTCTGCATTTTTTGAGCAGTTTAATCAATCCCTGTGTTTTTACATCATTTGGTCCCTTACAATCATTTTTGAATGCGTATCGTTTTTTGGGGGTTTTTGACAGCGCAATGGATTTATCAGACTGTCACATTTTCTGTCACAAAGTGTTCTGTTTTAGTTATCTTTTCTTTTTCTGAAAGGCTGAATTTGGCGTTCTCTTCTGAAATGGACATTTCTATGTTTTGACAATTGTAATAAATAGGAAATACTAGAAGCGTAAAACAAGACATCTTTCATTGCACTCTGCTCTCCCCCACCAGGTCTTATCCCATTAACGCGTCTATCCTGTGTTGTCCATTACAGAGCGTATACATGCGTTTGCTTCCTGTGTATTTCCCGCGATCTTTGGAGGAAGAGCTGCGTTCACGGCCACTTATACCCCCAGATATCGGTAATGCAGATGGGGAGCCAGTGGTGCCAGAACGGCAGATTCGAATCAGTGAAAAGCCGGTGACATATGAAGGTGAGAGTGGGAACTTTATAAATTTACTGCCACAAAAACCCCAAAACTGTACCCTCCCCAAATTGGAGACACAACCACCAAACCAAACCAAATCTTGTAATTGGTAAATAAGTGCCAGTAATTACTGCCATGGAATCGGTAAATAAGTGCCAGTAATTACTGCCATGGAATCGGTAAATAAGTGACCGGTAATTACGGCCATGGAAATGGTAAACAAGTGCCGGTTATTACTGCCATGGAAATGGTAAATAAGTGCCGGTAATTACTGCCATGGAGTCGGTAAATAAGTGACCGGTAATTACTGCCATGGAATCTGTAAATAAGGGACCGGTAATTACTGCCATGGAATCTGTAAATAAGGGCCAGTAATTGCTGCCATTGGAGTTTTTGTTCTCTGACTGCAGCGGTTTGATTGATCGTTGCAGATGACTCGTCGGAGGACGAAGGGCTGTCTCTGGGCCTGTCTTTCATCGGATCTCATGCGTTTGCTCGAATGGAGGGAGATGTGGACAAACAGAGGAGACTTGCCCTCCAGGGGCAGATGTCTGGGGCAGCTCTACAGAAACAACACCAGAGAAAGTAAGCTTGCTGCGGCCTCCGGGCAATTAATACTTTGTGTCTTTCTCTTACTGAGATGTTGTCTTCGCTGCATGCAGTCCCAGGGTTTGATATGTAAGCTTAGTTTGACAGTCACACTAAGGCAGCAGGTTAGTGTCTGTACCATCGGTTTACTGACCGCAGCTGGCATTATTGCCGATTAGTGTTGTACACGGCTGGGCTTTGGGGGCATTACAGGAACACTGGCCAGACTCCCATCGTGGCACACAGAGGGCTGTTTATATTGCGCTATGCTGCTCTGCACTGAAATAGTCCATTGGTTTCCACGATGTCCCACACTTTAATTCTTATAGATACAGTCTGGGGAGAGGACAAACAATCTGTTCTCTCACCAGCTTTTACCAAGTCTGGCCAATCCGCTGCTAAGCTGATCCTTTCTGTGATGTGTTAGTAGGGTGGAGACATTTCACAGAACCCTTCAAACCATTCCGTTAATGCGTATTGGAATAAAATATCAGACAGAATGGTACCTCAACAAATCATTTTATAAATCCTATAAAAATACTTACAGATTTATGTATTAAAGTGAGTGTTGTCGGGAATTCAAACTGATTTGAAATTTTAAAACCAAAGGAACTGAAATGAAAAAAATAGTTTACTTGAAGAATATTTTAGTTCGACTTCTTGGTCCTTCAATTTGAAATGAACGTTGAGTTTGTGGCCATTGTCAGCTTGAATAACCTGTTGGCTGTTAGCATTGGCGGTTAGCTGCAATGTGGGTCTCAGTGCTGTGTTTTCCCTTCTAGTTATAATCGCTGGCTTTCCCGAGCTCGCACTGAGGACCTCTCGGACATCGCTGCTCTCAAAGCGCTATACCAGTCTGGTGAGTCTGACTCTTTCTATATAAACCTGCCCTCACACTGCGCTGAGGCAAATTGTGGATTACAGTAACTGGGAGTTTTCTAAAATACACTGTGCTTTTTATATCTGTTTGGCCTGGAAACACAATTCGTTCTCAGTATAAAGGCTGTTCCTGATCCCATTATTACCATTTGGGGTACACTGAGTCAAAATTCTTGACAAATTTCGTTTTTTCCTTATGAACTGAATTCTCTGTCGTATTAAGCCATCACATTATAATGTAGCATGCAGCACACTCTGTCCCTTGTTATAATCATGCAGTCCTGTGTTCTAATTTGGCCTGCAGCACAGTCAGTCCTTGAGGGCCACACAGTCACTGATGGCTCACATCTGTCTATGTTACGGTTTGCTTATAGGCGTGGATAACTGCGGCAGAACAGTCATTGTGGTCGTAGGAAGAAACATTCCTGTGTTACTAATTGACATGGAGAAGGTGAGGGGGTCCATGGGGTGTATTTCCTTAAGGTTATTAAGTATACTGAGATATTACACATAATCTCCTTTCCTTGTCCCTAAATGTTTACACACTGGATTGCAATTTGTAGGACGTAGTTTTTTTTTGCTGCTCAATGCACATGTTGTGTGTTCCTGTATGTAACGTGTATGCTGTACCCGATCTCACAGTCTGTATGTAACGTGTATGCTGTACCCGAGCGCACAGTCTGTGTTCCTGTATGTAACGTTTATGCTGTACTGGATGTAACGTGTATGCTGTACCCGAGCTCAGTCTGTGTGTTCCTGTATGTAACATGTATGCTGTACCCGAGCTCACAGTCTGTGTGTTCCTATATGTAACGTGTATGCTGTACCCGAGCTCAGTCTGTGTGTTCCTGTATGTAACGTGTATGCTGTACCCGAGCTCAGTCTGTGTGTTCCTGTATGTAACGTGTATGCTGTACCCGAGCTCACAGTCTGTGTGTTCCTATATGTAACGTGTATGCTGTACCCGAGCTCAGTCTGTGTGTTCCTGTATGTAACGTGTATGCTGTACCCGAGCTCACAGTCTGTGTGTTCCTGTATGCAACGTGTATGCTGTACCCGAGCTCACAGTCTGCGTGTTCCTGTATGTAACGTGTATGCTGTACCCGAGCTCACAGTCTGTGTGTTCCTGTATGTAACGTGTATGCTGTACCCGAGCTCACAGTCTGTGTGTTCCTGTATGTAACGTGTATGCTGTACCCGAGCTCACAGTCTGTGTGTTCCTATGTAACGTGTATGCTGTACCCGAGCTCACAGTCTCTATGTAACGTGTATGCTGTACCCGTACAGTCTGTGTGTTCCTGAGCTCACAGTCTGTGTGTTCCTGTATGTAACGTGTATGCTGTACTGTATGTAACGTGTATGCTGTACCCGAGCTCACAGTCTGTATGTAACGTGTATGCTGTACCCGAGCTCACAGTCTGTATGTAACGTGTATGCTGTACCCGAGCTCACAGACTCTTTCTGTGTCAGGCACTGCTGTACTTCATTCACATGATGGATCATGTTGCTGTCAAAGAGTACGTCCTGGTTTATTTCCACACTCTTACTGGTGATCACAACCACCTGGATTCGGACTTCCTCAGGAACATACATGACATTGTGGATGCCAAGTAAGTGTTATACTTGTATTCACACATTTCAGTCTGTCAGTGCTCGTCTTTCAGTCGGTGCGGCCTGCGCGCTCGGCGCTCAGTCGGTGCAGCCTGCGCGCTCAGTCGGTGCTGCCTGCGCGCTCGGTGCTCAGTCGGTGCGGCCTGCGCGCTCGGCGCTCAGTCGGTGCGGCCCGCGCGCTCGGTGGGTGCGGCCCGCGCGCTCGGTGGGTGCGGCCCGCGCGCTCGGTGGGTGCGGCCTGCGCGCTCGGTGCTCAGTCGGTGCGGCTTGCGCGCACGGCGCTCAGTCGGGAAAGAATATTAGGGGAATTTACACAGATGTGTGTATAGTAATTATATATAAAATTATACCTCACGGATTTGGCCTTATTAGACACAAACCTAAAACTAAGGTAATCTGGTGTGCGGTAATAAATACTGAGAGTAAAATTATTAATAAGCCTTTACATGTCTTGTGTCGGGGTCATCGCGTTCATGTATCAATCTGGATTCTAATTCCGTTTCTGGATTGAAGCTGGCAGTGTGATTCCTGTTTTGGCACAGAACCTGCACCCAATGTTCACATAAATGAATCCCATGACACCTGCGGGGTTACTGCACCAGCTAATGATTTACAGGAAATGTTCCTTCATTGCTAGCTATGTGTAGTATCCCCGCAGGGCTCTAGGTGGCAGTAGATGTACATTTATCATTGGTTAGTAGCAGAATATGACCAAGCCTCAAATAACTATCATGGCGTTAGATTAAAGGGAATCTGTAAAGGAAAAACAAACTCCCATATATATGGAATCCATCATATATTCCATGTAAATTATCCAGGTATACTCACACCTCTCCTCTCTTCCAGAGCTTTGTGGATGATACTCCTCATGTAAGCCACTTGCTCGTAGGGCAAACCTCTTCTGTGACCCCAACTCGCCCTGTCTATTCCCCTATACTTCCTGTCGGCTAGGGAGTTACCATAGCAACCACAGTGCATGCGCAGATCGTCAGTCTAGCCAAAGATTTGATTGGGAAGAGCGAGAGAGACAATTTTAAATAGGTTTTGCTCCCAGTCTAATCATTTCTCGGCACAATGTAGAGATAGAATTTCCAAAGAGAATGAGTGGTTTAATGAATGATTCTACAACATAACAAATTATCTCAGTGGAGCCATTCATTGGCACTAATTTGCTTATAATAAATTAAATTCTATAAAACCCATCGTTAGCCCCTTCCCAGTGTCAGAGGAGTCTTCACAATATGCCTGGAGTCTTATGAACATATTACTTCTAAACATTCGATACCTGTATTTAGATTCCACCTCAAGTCAAGAATCACTGCCTTTAATGTAGTTGTTCTTTTGTCCTGTAGGCGGTGACAGTCCAGCATTTAGAATGTTTCTTGTGGTATATTAATGCTTTCGTGGCAAGAAGTAAGTATTTTTATATCGGGGCAGTCCAGGCAAGTTGAATCATGAATGAATTAATTTTCTCTGCCCCTTTACGGTACGCTATAGTTACCAAAACACGTTTAGATTAATTAAGCAGTTTAGGTGTATAGATCATGCCCCACTGTCTCGCTTCTTAATTATCGTCAATTGTCAAGTTAAAGTACTTTTTTTATGCCGCCCTAGTCACACCTCCCCTGACTGTGACTCTCACAATCTTCCTACAGACCGCAAAGAGAGATATAATGTTTAAACTTCCTTTATTGCACAGTGTGTTTAATTTAGAATTTATTATCTGCTTTTCTGTTAATTGCTTGCTAAACCTTGCAGGAACCTTGTGTGTGGTTAAACCTCAATTCACAGTAGCAGACAATAAAGACTTCTGATGTAAACACACTGTTCTGTCCCACCTGTGCTAGGTGTGGCTAGGGCTGCAAAAACAGAAACAAAAGTGATTTAGCTCCTAAATGGCAGAGAATTGAGCAGTGTGACTACAGGGGCGTGATCTACACACCAAAACTGCGTCATTAAGTTGTTTTGGTGCTTGGAGTGTCCCTTTAAATCACTAAATGTTCAAATACCCAGAGGGATTAGGATACTGCAGAAGTACTGAAAGAGATTCATAGATCCAGGGATTCCTTGTGTTAATCTGCTATAATTTCACAGTTGTGGGGATTCATTGTGTTAATCTGCTATAATTTCACAGTTGTGGGGATTCATTGTGTTAATCTGCTATAATCTCACAGCTGTGGGGATTCATTGTGTTAATCTGCTATAATTTCACAGCTGTGGGGATTCATTGTATTAATCTGCTATAATCTCACAGCTGTGGGGATTCGTTGTGTTAATCTGCTATAATTTCACAGCTGTGGGGATTCATTGTGTTAATCTGCTATAATTTCACTGCTGTGGGGATTCATTGTGTTAATCTGCTATAATTTCACTGCTGTGGGGATTCATTGTGTTAATCTGCTATAATTTCACTGCTGTGGGGATTCATTGTGTTAATCTGCTATAATCTCACAGCTGTGGGGATTCATTGTGTTAATCTGCTATAATTTCACAGCTGTGGGGATTCATTGTGTTAATCTGCTATACTCTCACAGCTGTGGGGATTCGTTGTGTTAATCTGCTATAATTTCACAGCTGTGGGGATTCGTTGTGTTAATCTGCTATAGATTCACTGCTCTGTGGGTTCATGGGTGCATGTGCCAATTAAGTTAATGGTGTGTTTTGTTTGCAAGCTGTACAACGCTCCTCCACATGTTACCACGAGAAATCATGCAGACTCTTTGTTTCAAGTACTCCAATATTTAAACACGTTTACCCTTATTGTTTCTGAAGGGCAAAGATTAATGTGCCTGCGCGTGTTTAATGTGCCTGCGCGTGTTTAATGTGCCTGCGCGTGTGTTACACTTGTGCATTTTCGTTTCAAGCTAATTTTGTGATTCGTCCAAATTTTGGGGGATTGTCGGGTCATCCAGATAATACTCTTTTTTCCCTCTCACTTCATCTGTGAACCAAATGGATGTAAAATGTGCCTACCTGCGTTCCGAGATATATAAATAATAATTATTTATTGCAGTACACTGGTTAATTTTTATTTTTAATTTTTTTTTTTACATGTTTTCTCGGATATATATATATATATATTTTTAACAAGCTAAATCACCACGATACTACAAAAACCAAACCTTTTCTGGATGAATTGATTCAGCTAACACACGTTTCTTCACTGTCACAAGTCCTGTGTGTATAAATTCTCGTTTATTCAGAAGGTAAAGCTTTATTGAATAGAGCCGTATCATTCATACACCCATGCTGTACAGCCTGAGATTTACCATTTATCCCCACGATGATACTGCTTCGGGTATAAAAGTTCCTTTCCACAGACAATAACCACTTCTTCTTGTGCATAGTGTGTTATGTTATGTTCCAAGGTAAGGTTGGCAGCGCAATGTGAATCGTAATAAGGTTGGTAGAGCGAGCCTTTCATAATAAGGATGGCAGTGTGCGCATTTCGTGGTAAAGTCTGCGGTGTGCGCATTTCGTAGTAAGGTCTGCGGTGTGCGCATTTCGTAGTAAGGTCTGCGGTGTGCGCATTTCGTGGTAAGGTCTGCGGTGTGAGCATTTCGTGGTAAGGTCGGCGGTGTGAGCATTTCGTGGTAAGGTCAGCAGTGTGCGCATTTCGTGGTAAGGTCGGTGGTGTGAGCATTTTGTGGTAAGGTCTGCGGTGTGAGCATTTCGTGGTAAGGTCTGCGGTGTGAGCATTTCGTGGTAAGGTCTGCGGTGTGAGCATTTCGTGGTAAGGTCTGTGGTGTGAGCATTTCGTGGTAAGGTCGGCGGTGTGAGCGTTTCTTGGTAAGGTCGGCGGTGTGAGCGTTTCGGGTAAGGTCGGCGGTGTGAGCGTTTCTTGGTAAGGTCGGCGGTGTGAGCGTTTCTTGGTAAGGTCGGCGGTGTGAGCGTTTTGTGGTAAGGTCGGCGGTGTGAGCGTTTTGTGGTAAGGTCGGCGGTGTGAGCGTTTCGTGGTAAGGTCGGCGGTGTGAGCGTTTTGTGGTAAGGTTGGTGGTATGAGCATTTCGTGGTAAGGTCGGCAGTGTGAGCGTTTCTTGGTAAGGTCGGCGGTGTGAGCGTTTCGTGGTAAGGTCGGCGGTGTGAGCGTTTCTGGTAAGGTCGGCGGTGTGAGCGTTTTGTGGTAAGGTCGGCGGTGTGAGCGTTTCGTGGTAAGGTCGGCGGTGTGAGCGTTTCGTGGTAAGGTCGGCGGTGTGAGCGTTTCGTGGTAAGGTCGGCGGTGTGAGCGTTTTGTGGTAAGGTCGGCGGTGTGAGCGTTTTGTGGTAAGGTCGGCGGTGTGAGCGTTTTGTGGTAAGGTCGGCGTTGTGAGCGTTTCGTGGTAAGGTCAGCGGTGTGAGCGTTTTGTGGTAAGGTCAGCGGTGTGAGCATTTCGTGGTAAGGTCGGCGGTGTGAGCATTTCGTGGTAAGGTCGGCGGTGTGAATGCTTTAAGATGTTCTGACTACCTGTACGTTGGACTGGTCTGCCTACACAGTGTCTGCCTTGCACAAGTTCGCATTAAAACTATGTTTCTGGCTTTCTAGGTATAAGAAGAATTTGAAGGCTCTCTACTTCGTCCATCCAACATTTCGCTCCAAGGTAGGAATAATATCACCAGCGAGACACTATACTTACCTAATACTTAGCTAATTACCGGCTAATTACTGGGGAATGTTAGAAGCTATGATCAGTATATGATTTATTTGGGCAGGTAAAGATCTGATAATACTAATCCCCGAAAACCAACTGATTACACCGGATTATATATTGAAGATAATTTAGAAACTTTATTTTATACAATGTTGTAGAAAAATATATATATTAACTATAAAATTCAGTACCACGGTCTGTACTGACCGATCGCAGAGAATAGATTGAGCCACGTTCTGTACTGACCGATCCCACAGAATAGATTGAGCCACCGGCCTGTACTGACCAATCCCACAGAACAGATTGAGCCACCGGCCTGTACTGACCGATCCCACAGAATAGATTGAGCCACGACCTGTACTGACGCAGATAATAGATTGAGCCACGGCCTGTACTGACCGATCACAAAAAATAGATTGATACAGCCACGGCCTGTACTGACCGATCGCAGAGAAGAGATTGATAGAGCCATGGCCTGTATTGACCGATCGCAGATAATAGATTGATAAAGCCACGGCCTGTACTGACCGATCGCAGAGAAGAGATTGATAGAGCCATGGCCTGTATTGACCGATCGCAGATAATAGATTGATAGAGCCACGGCCTGTACTGACCGATCGCAGAGAATAGATTGATAGAGCCACTGCCTGTACTGACCGATTGCAGAGAATAGATTGATCGAGCCACGGCCTGTACTGACCGATCGCAGAGAATAGATTGATAGAGCCATGACCTGTACTGACCGATCGCAGAGAATAGATTGATAGAGCCATGGCCTGTACTGACCGATTGCAGAGAATAGATTGATAGAGCCACGGCCTGTACTGACCGATCGCAGAGAATAGATTGATAGAGGCCTGGCCTGTACTGACCGATTGCAGAGAATAGATTGATAGAGCCACGGCCTGTACTGAGCGATCGCAGAGAATAGATTGATAGAGCCACGGCCTGTACTGACCGATCGCAGAGAATAGATTGATACAGCCACTGCCTGTACTGAGCGATCGCAGAGAATAGATTGATAGAGCCACTGCCTGTACTGACCGATCGCAGAGAATAGATTGAGCCACGGCCTGTACTGACCGATCACAAAAAATAGATTGATACAGCCACGGCCTGTACTGACCGATCGCAGAGAAGAGATTGATAGAGCCATGGCCTGTACTGACCGATCGCAGAGAATAGATTGATAGAGCCACTGCCTGTACTGACCGATCGCAGAGAATAGATTGATAGAGCCATGGCCTGTACTGAGCGATCGCAGAGAATAGATTGATAGAGCCACTGCCTGTACTGACCGATCGCAGAGAATAGATTGATAGAGCCATGGCCTGTACTGACCGATTGCAGAGAATAGATTGATAGAGCCACTGCCTGTACTGACCGATTGCAGAGAATAGATTGATAGAGCCATGGCCTGTACTGACCGATTGCAGAGAATAGATTGATAGAGCCATGGCCTGTACTGACCGATCGCAGAGAATAGATTGATAGAGCCACTGCCTGTACTGACCGATTGCAGAGAATAGATTGATAGAGCCACTGCCTGTACTGACCGATTGCAGAGAATAGATTGATAGAGCCATGGCCTGTACTGACCGATTGCAGAGAATAGATTGATAGAGCCACTGCCTGTACTGACCGATTGCAGAGAATAGATTGATAGAGCCATGACCTGTACTGACCGATCGCAGAGAATAGATTGATAGAGCCACTGCCTGTACTGACCGATTGCAGAGAATAGATTGATAGAGCCACTGCCTGTACTGACCGATTGCAGAGAATAGATTGATAGAGCCATGGCCTGTACTGACCGATTGCAGAGAATAGATTGATAGAGCCATGGCCTGTACTGACCGATTGCAGAGAATAGATTGATAGAGCCATGGCCTGTACTGACCGATCGCAGAGAATAGATTGATAGAGGCCTGACCTGTACTGACCGATCGCAGAGAATGGATCGATAACTCTTGGATCCAATTTAAAGACTAATAGCAAACTTTACAATATTGGGATGTGAAAGCCAACTATTTAGGCGCTCAGCCAGGCATCTCCACTTCAGAAATTGATTAAATATAATCCTCGTCAACTCAATCTTGGCTGAAATTCAGTTTGTGCATATTTCTGTCCCATATTTAATTAATTGCAGCCCACCATACACAGAGCCTCACATGTAGCCGTGGAGATGATTTAAAGTGCCAGCAGTTAATAGCACGACGCCGCTCGGAAGCTTTAGCACATTGGAAATTCAACCTTTTAATACCTACCGCCCACTCTTGTATCTTTGTTGATGGTAACATTTCCTTACTGCCCACCAGTGCCGCAGTAACTAATTTTATAGAGCAAGTGCAAATTTTTTTTATTTTTTATTATTACTTATTTTAAAAGTGTTTTGTTTTGTTTTTTCTGTTTTTTTTCTATGTCTGTGAGTGAAGGGTGGTGTGTGTGTGTGTGAGGGGGCAGTGTGTGTGTGTTTATGTGTGAGGGGGCAGTGTGCTGTTTGTGTGTAAGGAAGCCATGTGTGTGTAAGGGGGCAGTCTGTGTATGTGTGTGTTTTTGAAGGGTGCATAGGGTCTATGCTGTGTATAGGTGGGTGAGATGTGAAAATGTATCTTAATATCTCCCCCCTTATTTTTTCTTACCTTTTACCCAAGAAGTCCTGGTGGTCCAGTGGTGGCATGTTCTCTTTAGCCTGCAGCTCCTCCTGCTACAGGCTGACTCTCCTGTCCTCCTGCTAGCGCAGCACTGTATCAGAAAGTTGCCATAGTAACACACGGAAATGCTCCCAGGACCTTCCCTTACTCTGCTGGAGCTAAGTGCCAGCAGGTCAGTGAAGAGGATCTTTGATCTCCTGACCAGCCCGAGAGGGCTTACAGCAAGGCTGGCTCTGCATGGGCCGGGAGGGGAGATGAAAGGATCTCCCCTGCCGGCCTTGGTGCACAGCCATCGTGGCCCACTGGATTTTTTTTCTGCAGAACCCACCACCGCCCACCTGAAATCCTAAACCGCCCACTAGTGTAGGGACCAGGTTGACTACCCCTGCTCTAGGCGGTACAGGTGTACTCAGCGTAACATGATCCCTGACATTTAAAGCACAGCTTTCCAGAAACCCAGCAAACAGCCCTCCCTGTTTATTGCTAATATTGCTGTCAGTCTGCCGGTGTCAATAACGAGCGCCATGGCTATTATCAATTGTTACACCATACATTCCCCTGTCACCGAATTAACCCTGGCTGCGGATTGGTGGCAGGGCAGCAAGAGAGAATCTGGAATTAGAAATCCATCTGTGTGCGTATTAATGAGTTCACAAATGGCTCAGAATTAGTTCATAGGATAAAATGCCCTGTCACACGCAGTTTGTTACCCTCTGACCTCTCCCGGCACGCGATATTTAGCAAAATCTCACTAGATTTCGAACCAGAGTTAGGTCACGTGCTATAATTAGTATTAAATCCTGCATCACCAGGAATGTCAGCCTTGTTTATCATTTAACCTAAACTTCTCCGAGAGACACCATCACCACATAAAATACTCTTGGAGCGGTTCATTCCGTGGGCAATCTCCTATTGCTTGCGCTGCGCTAGGCTCCCAAATTGGGACAGTGTTGCTGCTGAGGGCCCTTTACACATCGATTAACCGCTATTGACAACTGGTCTATAATTTGGGATATTGGAGGCTGCATATTCGTTTAGTACTCGTTCTCAACCTGGTCATCTCCATGGTGATCTCCAGCTCCATTATAGAACCATTATCCATGCATTTTTATTTATTTTCTTGGCTTGATGTAGAATAAGACCATGGGCTCCAGCAGTATTGGGGATTGGACATAGGGCTAGATGTGAGAGTGATTGAGTAGGACACTCAATGACCATCTCGAGTTCCCGTGATCACACCACCGTTGATGTACACCAGTACTTTTGGATTGTGATCCACTCCTTTCTTTTTTCATTTTTTTTATTCATCGTTCTAATTAACTCATTACTTTCATTTTTATTACATTTTAATTGAATGTGATTATGGCTCTTGATGCCGCCTCTCACTATACTTTGTCTTTATTTATTTTTCTTTAAGGTTTCCACATGGTTTTTCACGACTTTCACAGTGTCTGGTCTGAAGGACAAGGTTCACCAGGTAGAGAGCTTGCACCAGCTCTTCACGGCCATCTCCGTAGAGCAGATTGAAATCCCTCCATTCGTCCTGGATTATGATGCCCGGGTAAGTGCTCGGGAGGACTTCATGTGCCCCTGCTACCACAGTTATTCACGGCTCACCCCCGGGTTTAACTGACAGACACAGGATATTACAAGTCTCAGAGTTCTGGGCTCATTCCCTGTAAATGGGGGTTTCAGCATGGTCACTGGGTCTGCTGGTCAGAATCCGTCTCAGGTATATGATAAATTACAGTTATCAGAATTTTCTATTCTTCCTGTTAGCCACTCGAATTTGTTACTTTATTTTTAATGTTTTTATTTTTTTTGCAGTACTATAAATATATATATTAAAGTGTAGAGAATGAACAGTCAAAATTGAAAAGTACAATATTGCTGTAAATAATATAACCGATAAAGAGAATATAACAATATAAGGCTCCAGTGGGCACCATAGGGCACAGTACCAGTAGTAGCTATCTCTCATGTTTTGTTTTTTTCCGCTCTGATATAGAATTACATTGTTTTAGTAACATGTTTTTTTATTCTGACAGGAAAATGGTCCCTTCTTCCCTTCAAATTCATTCTCCGGCCTCTGACCTTCGCTTCTTAGAGACTGTTTGGGATAAGCCAGCCTCTCCTGTGCGTTGGGATATTGGGGTACAGCCAAGGACTGGTCCCTCTGGACGGATGATGCTGTGTAGACGTGGGCTGTGACCCTCCCTGACCTGGTGATGTCAGAGATATTATTCACATATTGCTATGGCAGATAGTGGGCTGCTACATTTTATTTATAATATCTGTTCCCGTGTAAATAAACCGCCTGGAAAATCTGTCATTCCAGCATTTCCCAGTGGAGTCGGATTCACACAGACTGCACTGTTCATTGGACGATTGTCCGATTGTTTTCTGAATAAAGTCCCTTACAATGTGTGCTTTTTTTATGGATTGGGCAATTCTCTGGAAGACCTGATTTCAGCACAGCACCGATTTATAGCTCCATTAACTGTGAAACGATAAACTAAATCCCTTTTTTTTTCCGATTTCTAGATCTTTCCTTTGCGATGTAGAATTTCAGATTGTTCCTGTATTAAATATTACAAGTGGAGGGTGCTATGCCTTCCATGCTGGCTTAGCCAGTGCAGGACAACTTACCGTTTACTGAAATGTACAGATTGGACAGGTTTGGAATAAAATACATTTCTGTGATTAATAAATATATTTGAAGAAGAGTGTTGCTCTGTATGATAAGAATGTGGTTCTCCCTGAGTTTAGGCTGACACAGATGAAATAGTTGTTATATTTGTAGCATTAACCCCTTTACTGTGAGCAGTTCAGCTCATCAAGAGTTAATGGGACTCTGTAGGCACCAAATCAACTTTAGCTTAATGAAGCAGTTTTGGTGTATAGATCATAACTCTGTAGTTTCACTGCTCAAATGTCTGCCATTTAGGTGTTTAATCACTTTGTTTATGTAGCCCTTGTCACACCTCCCTGCATGTGACTTACACAGCCTTCCTAAACACTTCCTGTAAAGTGAGATCTAATGTTTAAACGTCCTTTATTGCAAGTTCTGTTTGATTTAAAATGTCTTATTTCCTGCCATGTTAAGAGCTTGCTAGACCCTGCAGGAGCCTCCTGTATGTGATTAAACTTACTTTAAAGTAGGTTACATCTGATTGAAAATTAAACCATTTTGTTCATGCAGTCTGTGTAAGTCACAGCCAGGGGAGGTGTGACTAGGGCTGGGAAAAACGGCAGAGACTTGAGCAGTGAGACTGCAGGGCATGATCTTTACACCATAACTACTTCATTAAGCTAAAGTTGTTTTGGTGCCTATAGTGTCCCTTTAATTAGAGCAGTGGAAGTGTGAATTAGAAACCTGACATTTATTGCAGTTTAACACTGATTAAAGGGATGCTGTAAAACTGCAGTATCGGCTGACTGTCTAACCCTCACAGCGGAGGTAGTTTACACAGTGATGGGAGTCAGTGACAAATCCTTTCCCTGTGACGTTTAACATCTCAGCCAGCAAGAGCTTCTCTTTCCCAGCTGATACTCATGCCATAACGGTATCACTTGGACAGAAGTTGGTATATTTGTCACCTTAAGAGGAGTGTGGATTGGGGTAGCTATAAAACATTTACAAAATGCAACAAAAAGACAGCATTTTGCAGCAGTAAAGTAGTTTGTAATATTGCTAAACTACACAGAGGGGTGTATTCACCGGGCAAGGAGACAGTGAGAGCAATGCCATATTAATCACATTAATTTGTCAGTTATTTTTATTATTATGATATTTATAGCGCGCCGTCAAATTCCGCAGCGCTTTACAATTATATGCTAACACAAATGTTCTGCACTATAGAATGATAATTATTGTAGCACGTTTCACATTATTGGCCAAACGGGATGATATTTAAAAATGGTCCAATATTTCTCCTGCTCTGCTAGTTGGCTTGTCACTTCTCTGCAATTCACAGTTTGGTAAGCAAAGCCCTAAAATCGGACATTTCTGAAGGTAAAATTGAATAAATATTAATAAAAAAAATAATAATAAGAAAATGTCCTTTGGTCGGTGAGAAATCTAGATTGCACTATGGCTTCTAGACTCAATGAAACAATATGGAGCCCCCACAGCTGTTAGCAAGGATCCTCATGAGGAATTCACACTGTTTTTGTATGGAAGGTCTAGTAGTGATGGGAGTTGAAGTTCAGCTGCTTGCTGGCGTCATTGTTTCTATATGTTTTAATGAGATTGTTTTCTGAACAGGTGCTTGTATTCCCTGCGTGATATGTGACCGCCAGGCGTTATTCGCCATATCCTAATGCTAAAGCTGGGATTTTGGTTTGCGGTTTTTTTATGGTTATTTTTAGTTTTTATTATGGAAATTGTTATCACCAAACCCCCTTCTGAGGCCGTGTGTCCTTTGATTTACTTCCCAAGCTGCAATATTTGGCTGAGCGGTCTGGAACGGGGCCCTATCCTCAAATGAACAGATACCGGCCAGCACCAAGCACACTAATGGAAAAAACAACTTCAGATATTACACAGGATTTATTTATTTTTCCTACCTGAGGTCCTGTCGAGCCCTACAGATAAACCACAACTGGAGCTATTGTGGACATAGTGCTGTGTTTGGGAACCCAGCTGCTCAGGGTCAGCAATTTGCTGTGAAATGTGCAGATTCTCCGGGTGAATGGATAGATTCACAGAGGTGACTAGCTCGGGGTGAATGGGTAGATTCACAGATATGATTGGCTCGGCGTGAATGCATAGATTTACAGAGAGGATTCTGAGTGCTGGAGCAGATTCTTAGGATAAATAGGTACATTTGCAGAGGTGACTGGCTCGGGGTGAATGGGCAGATTCACAGAGATGAATGGGTAGATTTCTAGAGATGACTGGCTCAGTATGAACGGGTAGATTCTGGCTCGGGATGAATGGGTAGATTCGCAGGGATGACTGGATTGGGGTGAATGGGTAGATTCACAGAGATGACTTGCTCGGGATGAACGGGTAGATTCGCAGGGAGGATTGGCTTGGGACGAATGGGTAGATTCCTAGAGGTGACTGGCTCAGGGTGAATGGGTAGATTCCTAGAGCTGACTGGCTCGGGTTGTGGCGGACCTGGTACCATGCCCTGGGTGTGCCGGAACTGATACAGCTCTGTTCTGTAAATTCCTGTATCTCCCCATTCGGGAGCCGAACTGAGCTTTTGTGCCCCCCTCTTTATTGACTCAGAACACCGACCACCCCTGGCAGTTAACTGCATTTAAAGGATTAATTTGAGTGCTTTCACTGGGTGGCTGCTATTCGTATAACTGAATGCACATGGTTCAGTGCATGGCAGCCATTTTGTCTCCCAACTCAGGCAGCGGCACTTAGTCATCAAGGCGTGCAACTCTTGTCAGCTACACATTCTCACTAACCGCGGCAAAGATGGTACTGCTGCCTGTTTACATTCCCAACCAGCTACATGAACCAAGTTCAGGAGATAGGGACTACTGACTAGGGGGAGCGTTCATCTGTGTATGTGCAGGAACCCCGAACAGAGACCAGCTGCTGCCATGAATTCTCTGGAACTCTTTTGGGGCATCACCTTGTGACCAGTTGATCAAAACTTCTCCCAAATGGCAATTTCACTGAACCGATATGAGCACTTTTGGATATGTTCGGTGCTCAGACCAGGGCTATTCGAGGATATCGGACTTGTGGGGTTCCTGTACTATTTTCTTATTTTTTTGGGGTGATTTACAATATTGTATGAATTTTTTCTGTAACTGAGAGATAATTGAATTATCCAGATTAGAGCTCAATTATCTCCTGAGAGAAAAAAACCCTGTAATGTTGTTGTGGAGACCCTATGCTAGGGGTAATGCATAAAGAGCCTTGTGTGGCCAAATAAAGATCAGTTGACTCCCAGAATTGTGTGTCGTCCAGTTACGGGGGAGAATGGGCTATAATCACTGACCAGCTCCTGAGGATTCCAGCTGAGATATTGTGTTTTAGGATTGCAGCTCTGCTACAGGGGTGAATGGGTAGATTCGCAGAGATGACTGGCTCGGGGTGAATCTTGAGATTCACAGAGCTGATTCTGGTTGTTGGGGTAAATTCCCAGAGATGACGCTGGGTGTTTAAGCAGATTCCCAGGGACTCTGTGTGCTGGGACAGATTCTGAGAGTCACACTGACCACACTCTAGAGTTAACTCTTGTGTGTTTTATTTGCTTTAAGAATCCTTGAGTCCCCAGCTGGTGCTCTGTTTAGTAGGTCTCACTTGAAATCGCTGCTTTAAGTTTTTAGAAGCCATGCTTTTTAGACACTTGGTGTCTCTGTGTAACCTCTAAATTAGACAGTTCTGTTTGGACCCTAGGCCTCCATCCTCCCTGTTTAGTCTGTGGTTGAGGACCATCTGCTGTCCCTGTGCCGGAGCGTGGCAGCAGGGTGATGGACTAATTACTTGAGCTGCGTCCCTGGAAATGTTTTTTTATTTTCTGGTCCATATTTAGCCGACACCATCTGTCTGCAGGGAATAGAAATCTCACATAATCTAAGGCTGGCTGGTTCAGGGACACAGCAAGGTGTACTTTGCACGTACAGGGAGTGAGCCTGCACCCGTTAACCCTGCTACTGTGACTCGGGAACAATAATGGGGATTTATTTACTAAACGTGAGACTTATGAAGACTTTAAAGGAGAAAAAAAACTGTCCTGCAACAATTCTCCAACTCCTAAATGCAGCAACACAATTTATATCAATTAATGTGAATATATTAACATACAAAGTGCACCCCAAGGCTCAAACTCTCACTACTCCTGGGTGGCAGCAATGACTAGTACACACCAGTCCCAATATATACAATAAACGTGACGTGCGCATCATCCCAAATCCATATGCACATTTTAATAACTGGAGATTTTCAGTGTCACTCCAATAGCTAATAAAGTGTAAGCTCACTTGACAAAGCCTTTTAGGTGAATCCTACACTAACAATTCACCCTGCTGCACCAAAGCAATAATAAATATGTAGGGATTTCAAAAAATACCCCTCTCTGTCTTATTAGAGATTTTGTACCTAAAGCTGAAAGCAGCAAGGTTTGTTAGTGTAGGACTCACCTAAGAGGCTTTACCGTGATGTGGCAGATGAGCTGACACTTAAATGGACATTGGAGTGAAACTAAAAACCTGCAGTTATTTAAATGTGCGCAGCGATTTGGAATAGTGTGCAAGTAACTTTTTTTGTTTTTTTATTGAAGGTGAATGTGACAAAATGCCTTTTGTCACTGGATTTTTATGTGACAAGCTGCCCTTTGCCCCTGGCTGTTGGAGGAGCCTGAGTGCCTGCCTCATGACTATGGCCCTGGGTTGTATGGCCCTTTACAAACATTATTTGGGCTAATGGATTAATATTGTGCTGCTGCTGGCCCTTTAAGAACTGCATTGTGATTTATGGACTTGTATTGGACCATGCTGGCTCTTTAAGAACCGTCTGGGGATATATTGAGACTTTGTGTGACAATACCCCTTTAAGACTATGTCCCCAGACCTTTAAAATACTTTGTCTATGGCTTTATCCCACTTGGTTCAGTAAATGGAGCTTACCGAACCAAGTATCACACAGGCGGACCAACCAGAGCTGGAAGTGTGCAGGCAATTTACCTCCCAAGCTGGGAGCCTGCTGTAGGTAAATTGCCGAACACTGGGTGGCCGCAGTTCGTGCAAACCAACACGTGGCGGCGGCCATCTTTGTTCATTCGAACGAGGTCAGCGGTATATGTAGCCAAATTCATGGAACTGAAATTGGCTACATATTTTCACGAACACCGTTGACCTGTACCTTCTCTCATACTGAACTTTCAGCCGCAGAGACTAAGTCCCGTTCGGCAGTTGGAACTCACTGCTATACTGAGCCAAATGCACGAACGGCCTCGTTCATGCATTCTAATAGGACTTAGTCATTTTTCTGCATAAAATTGACTGGCCGCACAGCCCAAATCTATGGAACTGTTTTGGGCAGGAAAATGTGCTTACGGTCGGTCATAAATGACTTCCGTCTAACTTTTTATCTACTGGAGGGATTTGTGTGATTTTTATGTTTATATATAAAGTGTGCTGATTCTGAATATGTAATTTTTATGAAGATTGGATGTATGGTTTTAAAGTTATAGTAAATGTATAAAAACTGTATTTTTACTGTCTGTGATAATTATGTTAAGCATTGTGTACCATAATTATATCACAGGCAGAGGGGAGGATTTTGTGTGTAATTGCTGGGAGTGTTTTCTGTAATGTACGTGTGTTATTGGTTGTTCTGTAAAATCCTGTGGGTTGTCCTATGTAAGGAAAACCTGCATAAAAGAAGGCCCTTTGGTGCCAATTAAAGCAGATCATCTTGTACCTTCATGAAGTTTAGGCTCATGTTTGGGGGATTGGAGAGCTACACTCTGGGGATTGCTATACTCCCCAGGGTATAATCACTAAGCTCTGCTAAGTGATTATAATTCGGAGAGCTGGACCCTGGTCTTGGGTCCAGAGTAGGTGGAGATGGTGAGTCCCCAACCAAGCTGCGGCGGTTCATGGGGTCTGCAGTGGTTATGGTGTCGGGCAGAGTGCTTGGAGTACTCGGAAAGCACTAGGAGCATCTGTCAGCGGAAGGTACCCAGTCGGGGTGTCAGAATTGTAGGTACAGTCAAAAGAGTATATAAATTGTCACAAAAAAAAGGTCATGTGACCAGACCTGTTACCATGGTTACATCAAACCCAAATAAAATATCAATCTATTCCAATATTATATAAAGCCCAAAAAAATTAATTACTATAGTTGAGCCAACGATTCATGAGTAGTGAGTATGACGTATAACCGGCCTGTGACGCAGGATCCAATCTGTGTACGTATCAGGATAAAATGTCTCCAGTCAATATATTGTCTATTGGGGTTTACTAAACAGAATACTGAATTGTGAAATCCAAGCTAAAGTAGCTGATCAGCAAATAAGCCGAGCTCAGGAAATTCTCCATCAGCTACTTCGGACTGAATATCCTGACTTAGTATTGAGCGCCAGTGTTTGGCGAATCTCCTTCTTAGAGAGATAGTTGCTGTGTTCTGAATTTCAAAAACGAAGCAAAATTGTCTATCTACCCTCCAAAAAATATTATAATTTAGGTATTTACTAAAATTGCTGACGTTATTCTCAGCTTGCCGAGTTGGATGGTTAGTGACTACTCCCCTTTCCCTGACCTGCGTTACCTTCCCGTCTGTAATCAGGATCAGTGATATCGCAGTAATGGCTGCTACATACCTGCTCCCCTTTCCCTGACCTGCGTTACCTTCCCGTCTGTAATCAGGATCAGTGATATCGCAGTAATGGCTGCTACATACCTGCTCCCCTTTCCATGACCTGCGTTACCTTCCCGTCTGTAATCAGGATCAGTGATATCGCAGTAATGGCTGCTACATACCTGCTCCCCTTTCCCTGACCTGCGTTACCTTCCCGTCTGTAATCAGGATCAGTGATATCGCAGTAATGGCTGCTACATACCTGCTCCCCTTTCCCTGACCTGCGTTACCTTCCCGTCTGTAATCAGGATCGGTGATAGCGCAGTAATGGCTGCTACATACCTGCTCCCCTTTCCCTGACCTGCGTTACCTTCCTGTCTGTAATTAGGATTGGTGATGTCGCAGTAATGGCTGCTACCTACCTGCTCCCCTTTCCCTGACCTGCGTTACCTTCCTGTCTGTAATCAGGATCGGTGATGTCACAGTAATTGCTGCTACCTACCTGCTCCCCTTTCCCTGACCTGCATTACCTTCCTGTCTGTAATCAGGATCAGTGATATCGCAGTAATGGCTGCTACCTACCTGCATCCCTGTCCCTGACCTGCGTTACCTTCCTGTCTGTAATCAGGGTCAGTGATATCGCAGTAATGGCTGCTACCTACCTGCATCCCTGTCCCTGACCTGCGTTACCTTCCTGTCTGTAATCAGGATCAGTGATGTCACAGTAATGGCTGCTACCTACCTGCTCCCCTTTCCTTGACCTGCGTTACCTTCCCATCTGTAATCAGGATCAGTGATGTCGCAGTAATGGCTGCTACCTACCTGCTCCCCTTTCCCTGACCTGCGTTACCTTCCTGTCTGTAATCAGGATAAGTGATGTCGCAGTAATGGCTGCTACCTACCTGCTCCCTTTTCCTGACCTGCGTTACCTTCCTGTCTGTACTCAGGATCAGTGATGTCGCAGTAATGGCTGCTACCTACCTGCTCCCCTTTCCCTGATCAGTGATATCGCAGTAATGGCTGCTACCTACCTGCTCCCTTTTTCCTGACCTGCGTTACCTTCCTGTCTGTAATCAGGATCAGTGATATCGCAGTAATGGCTGCTACCTACCTGCTCCCCTGTCCCTGACCTGCATTACCTTCCTGTCTGTAATCAGGATCAGTGATATCGCAGTAATGGCTGCTACCTACCTGCTCCCCTGTCCCTGACCTGTGTTACCTTCCTGTCTGTAATCAGGATCAGTGATGTCACAGTAATAGCTGCTACCTACCTGCTCCCCTTTCCTTGACCTGCGTTACCTTCCCGTCTGTAATCAGGATCAGTGATGTCGCAGTAATGGCTGCTACCTACCTGCTCCCCTTTCCCTGACCTGCGTTACCTTCCTGTCTGTAATCAGGATCAGTGATGTCGCAGTAATGGCTGCTACGTACCTGCTCCCTTTTCCTGACCTGCGTTACCTTCCTGTCTGTACTCAGGATCAGTGATGTCGCAGTAATGGCTGCTACCTACCTGCTGCCCTTTCCCTGACCTGCGTTACCTTCCCGTCTGTAATCAGGATCAGTGATAGCGCAGTAATGGCTGCTGTGACAGAGCCAT